CCCTACTAAAATAGACTACAAGACAAGTTGGTAGCAGAAATATGGAGGTCCAAACTTGTCTCCCACCCTCTTCCTCAGCAAGTGGGCTGAGGAGCAGTTGGTTCCAGTCTAATTTGTGTGGCTTCCCAGCCTCTGCTCGCGGTGGGAGTCACAACAGAGAGACTCCACAAATTGTGGGTTTCCTGTTGGTGTCCTTTTATCTTAGCACGAAAAACAATCACTCAAACAACACAGACACACAAACACACACACCGGATGTGTGATAGATTCCTTCACTGCCAGGCTTTTCATTCGGGTCCTTGGGTTGCAAGTGGCTCGGGTTGCAAGTGGGTTTTTTGCCCAGGATCTGACCAAGAAGCTTCAATTCATGGGGCAGCGCCGGCATGTGTCCAGCCGTCCCGAGTGTTTGCATTAATGCTGCAGAAATCGAAAAGACAGTGGTGAAGAGGCACCTATACTTAGCGGTAATCGTCCTGAGCGCAAAATCCAGGGTAGCTCTCTCTAAAACATCTTCGCTGCCAGAACCGTGTAACAAAACACGCTAGCGGCTGAGTGTGGTCAGATTTCTGGTTGCATCTTTTGTAGCAGGCGCAGTGCGGACAATGTCACGGGCTTGTAAGTGTGAAGAGGTGTTTTTTCACTTAGAAGACTTGATGGATTCTAGGGAGAAAGGGTGTGAACATGCTGCGGTGAGCCAAGAGGGCAAACTTTTATGCTGGTGGTGTAGTGCGCGGCAAGCTGCACATGATCGGTTCGAGAGACATTTGAGTTTTGCTTCGAATCCTTTTTAAGTGACAAAGTAGTCGTGGAAATTGAAAGCAGCCAATCAGCCACCTTTGCTTGTCGGGCTAGCTACCTTCTAAAGGGCGGCTCTTGTTCGGCCGTCAGAAAGGCAGTTAGGCAGCACCTGTTTGCCTTGATATTCTTCCATTCGCTTAGAGATAGGTAAGTTATTCCCCCCGTTTGGTGTGAAGGGAATTTATCACTACTTGCTTTTGGTCTCCAGGGGACGCAAGCAAATAGAGATATTCATGTTGGGAAATGAGGTTCCCAGCAAACGGGTCCAGCTTCCCTTGCTTCGGTGACCCTTGGCCTTGCGGAAGTGACTCTTGGCGTGCTTTCTGAGGCTTGGTGACTCCAAAAAGCTACCTAAACCAGGGGTACACTCCAACTTCCATTTGCTGAACTGAATATGTTTCCCCCCTGTCGGTTTTAACGGGAATCTATGACTACTGCTTTTTTTTCCCATTTTTCCCAGGGGCGAAAACGCAAATGAAAGCCAAGATGCTGAAGTCTCTGCCGTCAGCACGATGTTTGGCAGGCGATTGGCCAGGTCGCAGCCAACGTGCACCAGTATGGTGGTGCCCCTTGGTAGAACGTCCGTGGTGAGCTTGGAAAAGAGTAGCGATCGAAGACATGTTTTGAAAACCGAGTTCCATTTAAGTTGCTTCCTTTAAAAGCCAGTCTGTTGCATTGTCTAGATCCCCCAGTGCCCTTTTACCCCTCTTTGGTTGTGAGGGTTCCCTTACTAAAATAGACTACAGAAAGAAGGGGACCCTTGTTCTGACCTCTCTACAGGAGGACTGCGAAGTGTTATTCCCCACAAAGCGATGATTTGGGATTCGTACTTTTCCTCATCGCCTTCTCCGCCCCCTCCTCACTCTTCGTTCCATCCACTCCTCCAGCCACCCACCCACCCACCCACTCACTCCCTCGCTCGCTCGCTCACTTGCTCAGTCGCACACCTACTTATTTGGTTGATCGCTGGCCAAATACTGTCAGGATTGACTTACTCACGCGTGTTTGACAAGCGTCCGGGCTGCTTCGAAAGATTGACAACAGTCACAACACTAAGCTTCTCACAAAACAAACTATGCATGTGGGGTTCATTAGGTCCTCTATTTTTATCTTGGTGGTATGATGGTTAAGGCTAACGCAAATATGAGGAGTTCTGAGGGGTCAAGTTCACCGCTGCATTTATGAAACTAGGCAACTGCTGCGTGAAAGTCATCAAGTTACGTTGGCATCGTGGTGTGGATAGGACTTCCTTGATTCCGAAGCTCGGTAATCCCTCGGGGCCGGGCAGCAACTATGTCTGAGTCCTGACCTGGATGTGCACACGCTATGGCGAGCTCACTCGGGTAAATTCTTCGCTCACCCATGAACGTACATAGGGTTATTCCAACCAAGATTCAATTTGCCAAGCGGGGGTGACCTTGGTACCTTGTCAAATGTAGTTTCCTTTTGGTAGTTGGGTGTCCTTTTGTGTTCCTTTCTTTCTTGAAGTTCGTCCTTAGGGGTATTCCTAAAAATCCGGTTGTGATTTGGGTGCTTCTGAAAATTGGGATCCCCTCCAGATGGGTGGTTTGCTTTTGGTTTCCCTGAAACCCATCCAAGAAGGGGTCCCCGATTTGAGAAGCCCACATTTGTTTCTGCAATTTGCCAAGGTGGTTTGTGTGCACTCTCAAAGATGTTGCCAACAGGGCTGGCATCCAACCTCCCGCCGCTGGATCACTGGAAGCTTGTGCAGTTGTTTTGTTTTTTTGGAGGGTAGCCGTTTTAGTGTCGCTTTAAAGGGCTAGGTCCCTCAGTAGTGCCCTTTTAGCCTTTTTTTGGGGGAGGGTTCCCCTACTAAAATAGACAACAAAAAAGGTACCCTTATTCTAACCTCTCTACTGGAGGATGTAGAGGGAGTCCAAAAGGAAACAACCTAGTTTGAGTTTGAAGAAGTCATTGGAATGCTGGACGCCACCCTCCCTTTCGTTGCCTTACACCGCCTTAGGATCCAAAAAAACAACCTACTCTGCATGGACGAAATCCTGCACCAAAATTGAAACCATGATTGACACCGTTGTTTGTTGGCATTTGCGGGCGATTCATCACTCCAGGGTTTCTTAGTTGGTGCGAAATGGATTTTGTCCATCCACGGTATTGCGAGTTTAGGGGCTCATGTAGATGGCCTAAATCATAGCACCTGGGTGCTTCGGCGTTGGTTTGAATACGGGGCAGCCTGGCTCTTCCGCCCAGGTTTTGCAACAACCACGAGCGCGTGAGAAAGGCTCGGCCAGATGCCTCGTGAGGAGAACGCATTTCAGGCCTTCGGGCGTAGCAGGTGGTTTTGTTCAATCAGATTCGCGCATATTGCAAGTATATCAACCACAACACGGGCTCCAAAGAAAATGGCTTTGTCCACAGGACACGCACCCCACCCCACCCCATCCACCCCACACCACACCACACCACACCCCACCAAACTGGCCATGGTTGAAAACCAATGGTACCATTTTGGGATAGGTGCACCACCCATTTTAGGCTTTATTTTAGTGCAGGATTGGGATGTTCACTGGGGGTACGATTTCGGTTTTTGCCCGTGGCCATCTTTTGGTGCTGCAAAGCACATTCGCCCGTTTTGTTTTTATGCATGGGGTTCGTAATACGGTCCGTAATACGGTTTTGACCCATGGCCAACTGGGTGTGATTTTTCCTGGGCTTGCCTTTAACGCCAACCCCAAAACTTCCCTCAACACTTTGGTGCATTTTGCCCAGGGATGTTCGGACTTTAACTTGTTGCCAACTCATGGGTTTTCCGAATTAACCCCACCAAGAGCAGGGGAGCAGGGGATCTAGCCCGTTCAACCACTAAAAGTGAGTCACTTTTCGCAGGGCTTCGCAGATTTTTCGCCACCGAGAAAAGCTCCAGGTGGCCGAGCAGCTGAACGAGCAGAAGATCCCCACGGAGTACTTGACCGGGAACCGATCCAAGGATCCGTTGGGAAGACGCGGGAGGCAAAAAGCCGGGAAGAGGCTGGGGTCTCCTTTTTTTTGTTTAGCAGGGCTCCTTAAAAGATACATTTTGCCCATTTGAAACATGGCGTTTTCCAACAAAATACAGGGAAACCACCATTTACAAGGCAATGTTCAGGTGTAAAATGTAAGGATCCCTGTTTAGGGTAGGCCAAAAAGAATACGAGCAGAGTCGGAAGATTTTGTGTTTGGAGTACACCAGATGTCGCCACGATTGGGGGACAATCCGGAGCCATGAAGGGTAGGTGTTGGGTAGGTGTTTCCCTTCAAACAACAGCGCACTGCCCCTTTTCCGCCCGTTTCAGGGTCTTAAAGGGACGAACGGAGTCGGGTGCAGGGTATGAGTTGGTTCGTTTGCTAATATGTTCAGGTGGGGCCCGCAACAGCTCAAAGGAAAATATTGTTTTGAACCCTCCCTAAAAAGTGCCCAATACCACCCGTATCGCCTGTGACGGGCCTATCGCCCCCCCCCCCCCCGAAACGCGTTCAGTTGCTTCGTTTTTTGATTATATACCAAGGGGGTCCACCAGAAGCAACCATGTTCCTTTACTTGGAGTTAACGTCGGGATGGTCATCCACCTAGTACGATTCCTTGAGGGAACCATGACCCATGGTTGTTGTTGGGAAGCATTTGAAACATTTTTGCTTATTGTGGTTTAGTGGTTGAAATCCCCACTTAACTGCTAAAATTTATTTTTGTTGCTCCCCTTCCAACGTCAACCAAGGACCATAGGTCATATACTGCAAGGAGTTTTGATTCGGGCGACATGCGGGAGTCCAACTCTTCAGATGTGCCTGAAGGGTGGAGTAGCAGCAAGCCACTGCTGCTTGCCATCGCCACTGCCTGCGCCAATGTCAAGTGCTACCTCATGCCACCCATGCCTTCCGCTGTGTTTGACATGTTTGCCTGTGAGCAATTGGCTCATTGGAGAATCTATCAGTACTTGGGTCCGTCAAAGGCACTTCAAAGGATTCACGAAACCATGCTTGACCTTTGTGTGTCTCATGAGTCTAGTGTATTACCGTGTTTCACTGGTGCTGCTTGAAGGGGACGCCTGCAACGTGCATTGGGTTTTCTTTGGTGCCCCTTTCACCCAAGTAGAGGTCCCACATTCCAACGAGTCCGTTGGACCCGCAATTGTAGAAGCAGGGGTCCCTGCATTTCTATAAGGCTTCAGCAGGTATACCGTGAAGAGTATGCTCTTCTGAAGGTGTCATGAATGGTCATGAATGCCCTCACTTCCTGAGTTCATGAACTTTAAACTTTTTGGGAAGACCATTTTAGTGGTAATTATAAAGTTTGAGCTTTTTTTGGGCCATCCACTCAGCCAGTGAGTGCCTGGCAAAATGGTTGCACGTGTTTCCCCGGCGAAGGTTTTTCCGAGTTGCATAGTGGCCCTTGATTTCAGTGGTTTTGGGGGAGGGCGAGGACATCCTCGAACAAAATCCTTATGGCTTATCCTTACCCAGGCTTAGGAACGGATTTGTTGGTCCACGTAGTTTTCCACTTGGCATGGAAGATCGGCGCCACATGTTGAAGTTCTGAAGAGCCTAGGTCTCCCACGTCCCACTCTGGGATCTCTCAGCAACCCGGGAATCAAATCCCGTAGTCCGTGTCGTGGCTTCTCTTCAGCTATGAAGATGTACCTGGGCAATAGGAACCGGGGTTTGGGACAGCCCTGGGCCCATTTTGATACCAAAGGAATCCCCATTGAGTTGCTGCAGTCATGATTTTCCACCATCCCCGAAAACAGAAGGGGAGTCACACAGTTATTTCAGGTGATAAACCTGACGGACCCTTTCTTTCAGGGGCATCCTCCAAGACATGCAAACCCCTGCTTTCAGAATGTGAGAGAATGGTCTTTCCCAATGTGATGCTTACAGAAAGCTATCGCCAGACTACACATTGCCCCTCTGCTTTTCAGGGTGTCCTTTTTTAAGCAACAGGGTACATAATTTTGCAGGAGGCTGGCTGAATCCGTCTGGCGAATGCCTGGGTGTGCCTTTTGGTCGGGCCAGGATCTTCTTTTTTTTGGTGTGTGGGGCTTGAAACTCCGTCTCCGAGTTGCTGGGTGTCATACTTTCTGGGCAGATCACTTTGGTGGCAAATGAAGCAGTTGAGACACAGAGAGTTTTGGCCGCTCCAGTCACTCACTTTCTGAGTTCCGTTTCGGACTTTAAGCTTTTGGGGGTTGGACCACACCAAACGTTTGGTTAATTTTCCGGACCAATCCGCTTGATCGGAAGTGTTGCCAGGAAGTGAGAAGGGGAATCGATCAGACCGCAAGTCTCCTTTGAGCTCCGTTCGTTTTGGGGTTCCACTGTTCGATTGCCCCAAGAGAGTTGCTGTTTGGCTTAAATCCAACTGATATCCGCAGGGATCGATTGGACCCTGCGGGCTTAGGCTGGGATACCCTCTGAAGCATGCTGTGGATGGACGAAATCCATTTCACACCACTGTGAAACTGTGGTTGAAACCGTAACATGTGTGGGTATTTACCGGGGAATCGAATCAGACTCCAGGGTTTCGTAGGTGGTGCAACATGGATTTCGCAACCATCCACAGTAGTCAGCTTTGATTGGAAGGGCTACATTTTTCCAAGGGAACCGCTCTTCAAAGCCGAACGGGAAATGGTTGGTTAGAGGGATTTGCCTGGGATCCTGGGTGGGACAAGGGTGTGTTCTTTTGTGCGGGTACCCAAAAAGTGCCCGTTTTGAAGGAAAGAAACGAAAAAGACACCAAAGAGGTTTAGGGATACCCTTGCTCACCCTACTCACTTCCTGAGTCAATGGACTTATAAGTGACTTATACTTTTTGGGTTAGGATGGATTTTGCTGGCATGCAAAAGGTTTGCTGTTTTTGTTCGACCATCCACTCGTTCGGTTTCTGAGCAACCTCCCATTGGCATAATATGGGGGTATCATGTGTTTGGAACCCTTTGTGGTTGGCTTTAAACCAAACCATCTCAGCGGACCCTTTTGAGAAACACAGAGAAAACAAGCCCAAAGTCAAAGGCATGTTCAGGTATGAGTGCTGGAGCTACGGATGCTTACATGCTGTAGCACAAACTTGAAAGCTTGTGATGCAGTCTGTAGCCACACCTTCCAAACCCATTCCTGAGATACCCTTCAAGGAATGAAGTGATGAGCCAGAATTTGTTCTCCCGGCTAGAAGGTTGCTAAGGGGAAAAACAACAAAAGCTAGGTGCAGCCGCCTTGTTAATTCTTTACATGGTATTGGGTGACCATTCTACCGATCGGTTTTGATCATGAGGGGTTGCCACCAGGATGACTCAGATGGACAATCCCACACAAGCAACTTGCTGGTGCTCAGTATGGAACGACCTTCCGGGTGTGGGTAATAAACCGGAATTCTCTTAAAGGAAGCTACAAGGGATGGTTTGTTTGTGGGTCATTCCATGTCTCATTCCCTGCCTATCGAACCAGCAAGAAAGACAGACATTGCCTGGTCACCTTCCACACTGTATATACTGGTACCTGGGACTTACTGGGTAGACCATGTTTATACCAATTGGCTTCGGCAAAACCCGGAAAAATGGACTCGGATGGTTATGGTCACTGGTTATACTCACTGGTTCTGACTACCCACCAACAAATGAATTCTTTACATGGTGTTGGGTGACCATTCTAATACCGATGTTGATTCTGAGGACAAAAAACACACCGGGATGACTCAGATGGACAAACCGAGCCACTCCCCCGAAAAATTCCGGGCGCGCAGGAGGCCCGGGATAATGCTATCACCCGCTTCGACGAGGGTGAGGTTCAGGCCCTTGTGGCCACTGCTGGAAAGCCCAGATCGGAATGCGTTGCGCCGGGTTTTGAGACGGAAGCCCTCGGGCGACTTCGAGCCCATTTTTTTGTTTTTTTTGGGTACGGCACGAAAGTCAAGTTACAGGTTGCAGTATGTTAATTTTGGGAGTCGACCGTACCAAAGTGGGAGTCTACAAATTGAGGGCCATTTTGTTTGTTGGGCGCTGAAAGGGAAGCCAAACATGGACACCCACTTGTTCCAGGGATCTTGCGGTTGAATGTCACACGCTCTTTCTGGTGGCGTGACGGCGTGGCCTGGCACAAGCAGTCCGCCCGGCTCAGGATGCGGCGATGCGGGGCTTGGACTTTAGGCTTGAGCCGCTTGGGGCGAAGAGCCCAAAGGTCGAGTTGTTTTTTGTTCCCCGCAGGAAACCCAAAGGACGGGGGTCCCCTAAACAAAGACACAGCGAGCTGTTTTTGGAGGGGCGTTCCCTTGACTTCTCAACTCCCAAACAGCCCTTGATCCCGTGACTGGGTGTCCATCGGTCCAAGGATCATCATCTCGCCATGCGTTTTGTGATGGTTTCAGTTTTAGTTTCTTGGCTCTTTTCTTGGCTCTTTTCTTGTGTTTAATAGTTTTAGTTTTGTCATGATTTCAGTTTCTCGGTTCTTTTGACGTTTATGGTGCGGCCGCAAAAATCGGCTGAATTTGTTTGCTCGCATGACCAAGACCCGAGCTCGGGAACGCACCTTCAGGCGGCAGTGGATTCTGGGTCCGACATGTCCGGAAAAGAGATTCGTGTATGTGTTTCTGAAAATCGGAGGCGCCCTCCAATTCTTGGCGTCCTGAAGGTTTTCTCAGCATGACATCTATTCCGATTTGTTTCTTGCATCTCACCCTATTGCGGATCAATCGCATCTGGGTTGTCTTTTGGGCTCAGCTGTCGATTCGAATCGTCTATGTCGAAGGTGGAACATGGGGTCCAGCGATCGCGTTTTATCAAACTTGGGAGCTTTGCATGGGTTTGTCTTTCAGGATTGGAGCCTGGACCCACAAAAAGTCACATTTTTGCTTTTTGCAGAGGGGTTACTTGCAACCCCAACATGGAACCCTCCGTTTCAAGTGCGGGCGCTATGGCCTTGGCCAGCTTGGCTGCCGGAGCTTTCCGGACGCAACTTGTGGTTTCGGCGCCCCGAAACCGAAAGACCGCGGGCGGTGTCTTCGGCCCGCACAGAGACGCGGAGCTTTGCCGCGCGACCGCTGCGTATGCTGCGTACCTCGGCAGCCGACGGCTGAGATGCCAGCGGCGCGCAGTGCTGGAAGCCCCGGTGGCAGCTCCGAAAGCCACGGTGGAAGAGGAAACCAGGCAGAAGCGGGCCGATCAGTGTCTGAACCCAAATTCGCGATGTGCTTCATTTGTTTTGTTTTGTTCTGTTCTGTTTTGTTTTTAACATGCGAATCTGATCGGTCTTTCAAAGCTTGACTCCGTGAAACGCAGTATATACTTTGTTTCCGACCTACCTCAGAGCACCTCAGGTACCGATTGCTTCTCTTCACCGAGGTCTTGATGTCTTTCACTGACACAGAGCCTCGTAGAGATGACGCCCACGTGTTGTGCCTTTTTGGCTTTCAACGCAAGTTGCAGGTTGAAGGCCTGGGGTTTGGAACACTCAACATAAATTGAATATGGCTGAACCCAGTGCTTCCAGGCACTATAGTAGGTAAGCCTTCGGGATCCTTACCTCTAGGTGTCGCATGATTTGTTGACTGGTTACCTAACTTAGTGGGAAGTGGAAGGACTGGGGAATATGACGTTAAAAGTATTGCTGTGGCGTTTAGCATGTGTTTGCTTTGACAGACCAACTTTGAGCAGATCTGGCATGTTTGGGAGGAACTCTCACGTATCCGCATTTGCTTGTATACCATGCGCTGGGCCGAAGAGAGTTCGGCCGCTGACTTGCTTGCTGCAAGTGAGGATGGAGACAATATCCGATTACAGAAGGAAGGCATGTTCGTGAATGAGTATGCGACTGGCTTGAAAATGCACCCCGGGGTCTGCAAACATCCCAAAGCCATCCAAAAGGCGCTTTTTTATTTGATTGCTAAAAGGGGACAACAATGATCATATTATCGTATCCCCCTTAATGGAATTGGGGGAGGGGGTATGTCTGGTTCCATCTTGCCTTTTATAGGGAAGACTAGGAAAATGGAAGTGGGGGAGCCTTTACCCCCCTCCTCTGAAGGTAGGGGGATCTTATCGTTCGAGATTCCTACCAATCCTGAAGGATTCCTCCGCTTAAGTCGGATGAATCGACCAGGGTTTATTCTCTCCCGAGTTTCTAGACCTTGGGAAGACCATTTTTGGTGTTAAATAACCAGTTTGGCCTCTGGGACATCCACTCGGGAAGTGAATATTACTACCAGCTTCGCACTTGCAACTTCCGCCGACGACAAACTCTTACATTTGCATATGGGGGGGTGTCTCAAAATGACGGCCGCCTGCAGATGTTCGATTTCCTTGCGGGCCCCCCCTTGAAGCAGTCCAAAAGGGAGATCCCTGTTTCGAGAAGCAACCATTTGCACAAGAGGATGTCTTGACGATTGCTCATTCTTCTGGAAATGTGGATGCGTTGTCCGGAAAGCACTGTTTTGTTATTTTGAGGAATGGACACCTTGTCTCATGAGGTCAATGATCGCTTGGAAATCCGACGCATGGAGTATTTCGATATAGATGAGAAAGCGCGATCCTATCACGACCCAACCGGGCGAGGCTGGTTTCGATCATCGGAAGATGTCGCGGAGCTGGTGCGAAAGAAAGAGTTGATGTTCATCGAGCGGGACTTTCTGGCGAGATGTTTGATGACGGTTTGTGGATTGAAAGAGAGCAGCGCATATCAGGCGGGCATATCAAACACCCCAATGGGAAGCAGGTTTCGAGGCACTTGAGCTGTCCAAGTGAGACGAGATACTAGTTTTGCAGTAGTTGGTTAAAGTCGCCTGCTTAGCAAGAGTGAGCAAAACATATGTACAGCGATAGGGCCCCACAATAGAACAGAGCAAACAATGCACCTCCAAAGACATGACGCACTTTTGTCGCTGAGGGCCCAGTAAAAACACACTTGTCCGAACGATGCCCCGAACAACACCACAAACAATGCTCCTTAATTTACAAGAATCCTTGCTCATGAGCTGCCAAGCCTACTGTTCTGGCATCTTTACCCGCTAACTGCTGGCGCAAGGCAAACAATGAATGTTGCTCAACTTTGGCCATCCAAGCTAGACCTCGGCAAAATACTGTAAAACGAAAGGGCCCTCCAAAAGAATCGATACCTGCCCCAAATGATATGTGAGCTGAACCAAATAATATAACAGCAATAATATGACTATATTTGATTTGACATGAGATGCCATACGATATCCAAATTCATGGGTGTTCTTCTCTTTTTTTCCCAAATCAATATCTGATCGCCTCAGGTTATGATGCAGGCCCACACCGAGGGGGTTGCAGTTGTTGGAACATATGCTTTTGAGACGGCCGAGACCTACTGTGCAGCTCTGAATGCCAAGGGTCTGAGTGCTGAGATAGTTCCAGTGGACGGCGAATAGCCTCGCGACAGTTCGACCGATTTGACCGATGCACGTTGCAAGCGACGTCGAGGATCTGGCCATCGGCTTCACAAGCAGCGAAACGAAACAGCGGGACTTCGCACGCGACCAGTCGAAAGCCCGAAGATGCGCGATCGACAATGAAGACGTGCAAGGGCCAACTCGGGCAAAAAAAAGAAGGGCGGAATTTCAGTCGGCTGTGGAAAGCAACTCTGAAATGGGTGTTCTTGGCGTGTCTCCTAACTCTTACAAAACACACCAACCATCTATGGCTACATCTCTTGCTAGCGTTCTTGGTGCAGCTCTTGGTGGAGGGGGTACATGGCGAAGAATTCTTGGGCTGGCCAAGGGTGGCCAACGAGCCCAAGTACTCCGTTGACTTATCTAGGTCCCCCAGTATTGCCCCTTTTCACCAACTTTTTGGGTTGGGAGGCTTCCCCTTCTAAAAAGAAGAAAATCGGGTTAGTCTAACCTCTCAAATATGGAGGACCTAGCCCATCCTTCCTTTTCGCTCCCTAAAAAACAACAACACCCAAGGGCCCAAGAAGCAGCGGCTGAAGTTGTTGAACACCCACAGGAAGTCCAGAGAAACGCAGCGAATGTAGTTCTTGCTGGGTCAACCGGCCATAGGTTCCAGACAGGTTTTTGGTTATTCTTGGTTGGTGGTTGGGTTTTTATTGAACCCACAAGTTAAACTTTTGGCATGACTGCCCAGATTTGGAGGTGTTCTGCTTTCCGGCCCAGCCAAAGAAAGCCGCTTGGGCGACGAGCAATCCTGAGGTATGTGTGTGTGTGTGTGTGTGTGCTTGCTTGCTTGCTTGCTTGCTTGCTTGCTTGCTTGCTTGCTTGCTTGCTTGCTTGCTTGCTTGCTTGCTTGCTTGCTTGCTTGCTTGCTTGCTTGCTTGCTTGCTTGCTTGCTTGCTTGCTTGCTTGCTTGCTTGCTTGCTTGCTTGCTTGCTTGCTTGCTTGCTTGCTTGTGTGTGTGTATTTTCCCGGCAACCCATTGGTCCTTGTTCTTATTTTCCCATGGGGCTGGAGCTTTCGTGAACAGATGGGCGTAGCAGGTTGTCAAAGCTTCCGTCATCAACGTATACTAGCCGAGGTACAACCTTAATAAAACACATGGCACCCTTGTAAACCTCTGTAAACAACTTATTCAACAACTGCCTTTCGTCCACAAGTCCACTGACTCAGATGACCATGGCAAAGCATCGCCATGGCGAAGCCATCCATGTGTGCTTTTGCAGCTCGGTAGCCAAGCTTTCGGTATAAGCCAAGTCTTCAGCCATCCTTCCCTGAACTTGGAAACCAACAAAACACATTTTTTGTTCGGGGTTTTCAACCTTAGCCGCCCTGCCGAGCCGAGCCAATTGCAGGGAGGTGACGCACGTGGTGAACCTCGAGCTACCTGGCAACGCAGGGACCCCCAGCTTAATGTCCCAAACCGCCAGTTAAAGCAGATGAACACTTTTGGTTTGGGCGGTGCTCATTGCCAGACTAACCTTTTTATATATATGTTTAATCACTTTTTGCAGGGGGCTAAGTCGGGTCAAGTTCTGATTGAGCTGGCATTTAGAGTTCAGTTGTTTGTGAGCAGTCCAATGTGATTTGCTTTGGTCTTGCTCTCTTTCGCTTTCACGTTCCCTTTTTGGGTGTACGGTTCAAACATCGTACGGACATGTTGGAAGAGTTTCCAGGTGGGGTGATAAATGAGACCTCCAGGAACCTTGCTGCCCTGTAACATACACCTACCAAGAACATGTTTCCGGACATTTGGAGGATGAAGTAGTCTCTGCATGTGCAAAATAGAATCTCAAGAAAGGCTTTGGTATGCCATGAAGCGGATACCTTTTCGGATGAGCAGGTGGATCCATTGACCGGCAACCACTTTGCGAGGGATCTGCGTATTGCTCATGGAATTTGATCGAAAGAAGGTTGCTCTCCCTTTGAAGGGAAGGGCGTCCTCCCTTTGAGGAGTTTGGTTGGAGAAGCTTTTCCGGGAGAACATCCAGGGAGACTTCCAAGGATACTTCTCCATGCTGGAAAAATCACCCGGCGCCTTTCTCGACGGGGTCAGAATTCCACAATGCGATCGTGGTGATTGGGGATTTGCAGGGGTGTCTACGTTTGGGACAAAATGGGGCCTGCATTGGGTCAAAATGGCGTCTGCCTTTGGGTTCTGAATGCTTTTCTGGCAGATGAAGAGGCCTCTGAGTCTGAAAACTGTGGTCCATGTCCTAAGATGGTTGGCTGCCTTTTGGTTTCCCTTGAAGTATCAACCAAGCAGGGGTCCGCCATTTTTGAGCACTCCCAAGCGTCATTGTTTGGCAGATGTGGCAATCACACTCCTCCTTTAGTTCCCACATTCGTTTGGATCGCGCAGTTTTGCCAAGGGTCTCGCAAGGCTGTGCTAGAGTTTCTGGAGGTGTTCCTGCCAAACCTGAAACAAAATCGAGCTCACAGTGAAGGCTCTTAACTTTGGAATGTCCATATTTTTTCGGACTGGTGTGCCAGTTGTGTCAGCATAATTTCAACTCATCGAAACCCCAACTTGAACTGCTGGCAGCGTTCGTTTTCCTGGTAGTCCTTGTCAATTTTCTGTTTCTGGGGGCCATCCACTGGTCCTGTGCGCATCTGATTCTTTTGGCATATCTCGTTGCTTTGCTGAGGCCGCAACATATGCACACCGAGCTGGCCGCTGCGGGCGAATGGGTTCCTTGGCAAGGCATGGGCTCTGCAGACTCCTGCAAAATATGTTATATTGGACTCACTCCCTGAGTTCACGGACTTTAGTCACTTTTTGGGTTTGGTTGCCATTTTAGTGGTAAACAAAAGGTTTAGACTCTTTCTGGCCAATCCACTCAGGGCTGCTCGATCGCAATCCCAAATCCTTGCCCTGAGTTACAAAAGGGCTCCCCCTTGCAGTGAGTTCCACAGAAGGATTAGGATTGGCCAAGCCTCCATTTTGAGCAGCCCGGCATCGTAGGTAGACTAAATATGGCGCAGAGTCGCAGAGTCAGAAAACCGGCTTTCTGTGCCCAGATGTGGGCCAAGAGCCATGTATAAAAACGGCTGCGCGCCAGACACGTAGCAGTTTTGATCCCTCCCCACCGCACGATCGGCATGGATTCGTGCGGTGCGTCTTTCGGGGGGAATGCCATGATCGAGTCATGGCCTGTGCTTGATCCGCCGCAAATGCTTGGCGACGTCAATCATAAACGCCTCTCGCAACTGGAAGCGCGCCTTTTTCAGATGCCAACTTTTCTCGGCTCGCTTTTTCCTAATGTGATCTTGGCAATCGGTTTGTTTAACCGGAGCCCAGTCTTCCAATCCAAGCCTCAGGGTTACCGTCAGACATTTCCCAATTCAGTTGGTTTTTGCACCAGGCCATTGGTTCAGAGGCTTCGGCCAGCCATCGATTTTGGCCCCACCCCTTGCGCTAGCGCGCTTTGTTCTGTGCCTCCTTTGGTCGCTGCCGTTTGGTGGTGGCTATTCTTTGGGGCCGTCTTTTGTTGGAAACTCTTCCCCGTTTTTGGGGTTGGTGTTTTCCAAAACCAGAAGAAAGACCCCACAAAGTGCGGGTGGTTGGACCATCCGTCTCTCAGGTTTTAATGGCATTGTGATCAGCCTGGCCGGTGGTGGCTACAAGAACAATCGGCCCTCGCCTCGGACGAGTCGTGATCCGTCGAATTCGCAGTCGTAGATTCCCAGTCCGCGGCGAAGTCACCAAGCTCGACGAAACATCAACAGCGAGCTGTTGCCCAAAGCGAAGCAGCCTTTTGACCCTTGAACGTTTTAACCATTTTGGCATCCATGTTCAGTCCCAAATGGTAATCAGCCTTTTTTGTCCGGGTCCTTTGGGCAACTGAGCCAAGGTTGTGTGAGTGAGGGGTTGGTTCCGGACCGTCCCCTCACAAAACTGTCTGGAAGGCCGACCATGAATGTTAACTTTGGATTAATCTGGCGGACCGAATCAGAGGTGGTGAGCAGATGATTTGCTTGATCTGTTTTGGGCTTCCTTTGATTAGCAGGTTCTCCAAATTAATCCAAGGTTGACATTGTCACAGAAGCGGTTCCCGCCCTGATCAACAATCGCAGGCGTCAGAATCAAAGTCACCAAAACTGGGGTACCAACTCGGAAAAAAAAAGTAAGAAAAACAAACACCCAGTAAACTTTTGATATCAGCCTAGGTCTGCTTTGTTTCCCAGCCCCGAATTGAAGCCTGAAGCGATGCTTTTTTAGGCAACCTGTTCCCCACTGAAGCTCTCGACTTTGGATTGTTTGACTGGAGTAGAGGGTGGTTTTGCTGGAGACGCAACTAACCCTGAATGGTCGCACTGCCCTTAAAGTACGGCTACCTCAACCTTTTTCATGTTTTTTAAACCAGCCATAGGAATCCCTATTCAACATGTGAAACAAAGCTAAAATAGTTGTTCATAACAGGGCACCGATTCCTATTTGTGTGTGTCTTAGAATTGGCACACCCCAAGAATGTGGTTTCGTCTTGGCTTCCTGGAAATACACCGAACATACTGTGCATAGACGAAATCCTGCACCATTTTGAAATTTTGGTTGAAACCGTAACGTTTGTTATTATTATCCAGTGAATCGAATCAGACTCCAGGGTTTCGGAAGGGTGGTGTGAAATGGATTTCGCATCCATCTACTTTGTATGGATCGATCTACCTAGCCAAACCAAGCATCATAGAAGTGAAGCCAACTTTGGTTGCCCCGGACCCAAAATGTTGGCATTTATAAGGGAATCGAATCCTTCCAGGGTTTCTTAGGGGAGCGAAATGGAATTCTTAACCATGCACAGCATGGTGATAAAGAAAGGGCGTTGAACAGAGCCATGGTTAAAGACAAGAACCCCCCCCTTCCCCCCCAAAAAACGAAGAGAAAACAACAAAGCACACAAAAAGTAAGCAAATCGAGTGTCCCCCTTCCTCCCCACAAAAGAACAAAGTCAACACAAAACAAAAGCACCGCAAACCAAACCCCCGTAGCACGTTGGCGCCGTGGCGACGGGAGGCTCCGGAGCTATGCCAAGACGCTGGACTTTGAGCTCCTCGAGGCCAACGTGAATGACGGGGAGCTTGGGGCCCGGGCCCCGGGCCCCCCGGGCCTCGAGAGGAGCCGTGAGGCGATTGGCGGAAGCGGATCGATGTGGCCAAGGATGGCTCCATGTGTGCATAGACCCGGGGTTTCTGGTAGACTTGTGGCTTTGTAGGATCCACTTCCAGCTAGAAAACATAGTTTCTGGTGTTGGATTACATCTGTTGCCAGAGTTTGTTTCTTGGTGGTTATGATCATTGGTGGCCTGCAAAGAAGCGCGAGATACTTGTGGAGGGTATGGCGTTTGGCCTAAGCCTTTATAGTCTGCAATCAGGGGACTCCATGCCCAGACGGTCGGTTTTCCTTTAGTGTCCAACTCCGGACCCCACAAATAACAATAATAATAATAAAAGAATCCAGAAAGATGAATCATGGACCCCGAAAACCAGGTATTGAAAGGGAAACCATCCCTTATGAACCACTTAATAGGGCCTTTGTAACTGATTCTCAGGGAACGAGGGAATGAAGCCGGAAAACACACGATTTCCCGGCTTGGTTTCCTTGAAGGGAATACTTATAAGTCCGGTTCATTTTTACACAGACTCAGTCATTCCCACAAATATCGTACCCTTTGGCCCCCCAAGCCATGGGAGCTCCGAAACGCCCAGGCCGACGTGAGCCTCGCGTTCCGTCCGGCCGTCCAGCTCTCAGTTGCGGTGGTCCCCACAACCGACGCGACCGGGACCGGGACGGACATGGAAGTGGGAAAGATACATATTGATTAACCAACCTCTATCCCATAAGATATTATACAAGACCTAGGAGTTGATGTTGACCCCATACTAATCGAAGGGAAAGATAGAGCCAATAGCATAAGGCCACGATGTGAAGGGCTGAGAATGTGGATTCTATATATGAATCAACCAACCTGTTTAGAAAAATGGGGGGTGTTTTTTTCTGGGTTTAGTGGGGGCACTTTGGAGAGGAACACCCCCCTTATCAATGAACTGGGGTTGATAAATACGGGGTCAACAATACCCCAACGGTTTTCTAAGGGGAAGTGGTTTGCAGGTAGACACCATCTTCGATTCAAGTCGGTTGGTTGGCGTCCTCTTCTTTGACCAACTTTCTTGATAAAGGGTCTTTAAGGTGTCTTTTGGAGTCTGGGCCGCTAAACTGCGGGCAACGGATTCGAAGCGGCGGAAACAAAGCAGGCAAACACACGGTTGTTATGCTTTGCACCTTGGTCAATGACAACCTACACATTGGAAAGGTTGGAGTTGTGTCTTCTTGGTCCTTGTCCAGGGGCAAACTTGTTTGTGCAAAGCTCTTTGGAGTTTCCGGAGGTCGGATTCCAAGTTTCTTCGTCCAGGGATTCTGATCCGTGGCTTCCTTTCGCATCCTTGAATCCACAAGGCGGTGGTTGCAGGCTTAAGACGGCGGACTTCCAACCCCTGTGCACTTTGGCTAGGTCCTCCAGTAGTGCCCTTCTCTCCCCTTTTTTTGGTTGGGAGGGTTCTCCTACTAAAATAGACTACAGAAAAATATAGGGCACCCTTATTCTAACCTCTCTACTGGAGGACCTAGTTGGAGAGAGAGTGCGAATCTCAGGTAAGACCGACCAGCTGAGGAAATGAAAAAGAGATCCGGAGTTGCCTGCCTGCCGTCTTGAAACGGGCATTTTAAACGTCGGGGTGGGAAACATAAATTCTTCCCCCCCACCCCACCCCCGCAGGAGACCACAGACCACCCAAACATTATAGATTTTGAAGGGGGTTCCTCCAGGTCTTCATGGGACAGGTAACACACCTCGAAACACATCTCTCAGACTAAAGATCAAACTTGAGAAGCCCTGGTTGAGGCCCCGGGTTCTGAGTCTCGAGCGAAAAGAATTCGGATTCCTGTTCGCATGTCCGAGCGATTTCCGGCCCCCCAAAGCCCAGGCCGTAATTCGGGCGGGTAGAATGTGTGTGTTGCGGTGTTTGTGTGTGTTTTTGTTTGTTTGTTTGTTCGTTTGTTCGTTTGTTTGTGTGTTTGCGTGATTGTGTGTTTGTTTGTTTGTGTGTTTGTGTGTTTGTGTTTTTTTTGTGTGTGTGTGTTGGTGTGTTGGTGTGTTTGTGTGTTGGTGTGTTTGTGTGTTTGTGTGTGTGTTTGTGTGTTTGTGTGTTTGTGTATTCGTTTTGTTTGTGTGTTTGTTTGTTTGTTTGTTCGTTCGTTCGTTCGTTTGTTTGTTTGTTTGTTTGTTTGTTTGTTTGTTTTTGTGTTTGTGTGTGTGTGGTTGTGTGTTTGTGTGTGTTTGCGTGCTTGTGTGTTTGTGTTTGTGTTTTGTGTTTGTGTGTTTGTGTGTTTGCGTGTTTGTGTGTGTGTGTTGGTGGGTGTTTTTGTGTGTTTGTGTGTTTGTGTGTGTGTGTGTTTGTGTGTTTGTGTGTTTGTGTGTTTGTTTTGTTTGTTTGTTTGTTTGTTTGTTTGTTTGTTTGTTTGTTTGTTTGTTTGTTTGTTTGTTTGTTTGTTTGTTTGTTTGTTTGTTTGTTTGTTTGCGTGTTTGTTTGTTTGTTTGTTTGTTTGTTTGTTTGTTTGTTTGTTTGCGTGTTTGTTTGTTTGTTTGTTTGTTTGTTTGTTTGTTTGTTTGTTTGTTTGTTTGTTTGTGTGCGTGTTTGTTTGTTTGTTTGTTTGCTTGCTTGCTTGTTTATTTGTTTGTTTGTGACTCTGATTGTTTGTTTGTTTGCTGGCGTAGACTTGAGATACATGTTGCATTCTACCAGTGACTGAAGGTGAAGCAATCAGGAGACTGAAGCAAACCTGGATTTTACCAAGTACTCAAGGTCCACAGGAACTGAGAAGTATGCTTCCTGGGCCTTGGCCACTCTTGGGGTTTGGACCATGTTTAGTGGTAAACAAACACAGTTTTTGCTCCGGCCAATCCTGAGGCTCTGAGAACCTTTCTGGCTTTTTTCTGGCCAATCCACTCGGGAAGTCGGAAGTGAGGATCTGAGAACCTTGGTGGGATTTCAACAAGCGCACGCAACCAACAGGAGGGCCACATGAGCTCTTGATCCTGACCGGAGTGGGCCATGAAAATTCCCCGCCATGGGTTTTGACGATTTTCGGGGCGTGGAGGAACTGAGCCTCTCAAGTCTCAAGCACTATACGGGTCATACGGGTATGATTTTTACTTAGGGACCTGAAATGGTGGACATCAAAATTCAGTGGGGATGTTATGTGCTTCAACCACTTTTCAGGGGGTTCCTCATTAAAATTCATGGCCATATCTGGAATTGTTTGGGCCACAAAACCCCACAGATTGCAGGGCTATGGCCGACGGCCGGTTCCCAGTCGCCTTTTTGCGAATCGCTTCAAGCGCTGGCTGCATCTGATTGAAAGCGTGGACACCAAATGATTCGCCTTGAGTTCGACAACACGAAACCCGAGTCACGACCTGAAACAGGAGACTCCACTTAGTTGCCTCTCAAAGCCCAATGCTGCTGGCATGAGCCGCTCATTTGTTGTAGGAAGCAGTGAACAAATAAGCTGGATCCTAGTCACTGGACTGGGCCGCGGTGCATGTTGCTTTTAGGGCTCAGAGGGGGCTGAGACAAAATGTTTGGTTCAGTGTTCTAAAGCCAAACATCCCACGAAGCCCTGGGGACAACGCCAGTCAGGTGACACCCACCGGCTGACTGTTAGCGGTGAACTCCATCGCAGAACACATGCAGTATCTGCAAAGAGATGACGTGTTCCAAGGTCCCAAGCCATGTTTGGTTTTGGATGGATTTATGGTGGTGGATGGGGTCTATCGCCTCCACGGCCTTCCGTGGATTTTCGCGCCATGTCGGAGCTTGCACTGACCGCGGTGCGAGCTGCTCTGCAGCACTCCGCTGACCGGGCGCCTGTGAGGTCCGAGGAGTCGGTTTTCTCGGTGTCCAAGCAGAACCTTGGCCTGGGTCCAGCGATTGGTGCCCTTTTTTACCCTTTCTTTTTTGGTTGGGAGGGTTCGGGAGGTCCAGCTAGGTGCCCCTTTTTGTTCCCTTTCTTTTTTTTGGTTGGGAGGATTCGGGACCCAACTAAAATAGGCTACGGGGGAAAAAACTAGAAAAATCGGGTAGCCTTGTTCTAAGCTCTCCGAAAAACCAAGTGGCTGGAAATCTACACTTCGGTTTCCGAGCATGTCGCGTCAAAGCGGCACCCAAGTAGCCACTGCCTTTCTGAAGGCACGGATTTTGGACATGGAAAACACGGTTGCTGGGTGCTGGAAGAGGATCAATCTTGTAAAAAATGGCAGCCAACAAACAGGTACGCCGCAACATTCGTTGACGTGGAGGGTTTGAAAGGATGAGACGAGGGGGCCATTCAGACTTTGGTCTTTGGAAGTTTGGAGGCGTTATTTAACATAGGCCATAGGCCACGAATGTTTGACATTTTGCCAACCAGTAATACTGTGGATGAACGAAATTCGTTCGCACCACTTTGAACCATGGTTGAAACCCTTATTTGTTGGTATTTACAGGGGAATCGAATCATTCCGGGGTTTCTTAGGTGGTGCAGGATTCTGTCCATCCACAGTATTTGTTTGGATTGGTGGGAGTTGAAGCTCCTCTAATGGGAAGCTACTTCCTCACCACCAGTTCAACACGCCAACCTGGGGGCGCTTTTCAGAATCAATCCTTGATCTTAATTCCAGGTGGCGGCTTCCCTCCTTGTCGTTGCGGATTTGGTTAGGTCCCCCAGTAATTAGTGCCCTTTTACCTTTTTTTTTGCGGGAGGGTTCCCCTACTAAAATAGACGACAGAAAAAAAGAGCTCTCTACTGGAGGACCTAATTAGTTGGGATCCCCAGATTTTCCGGAAGCCAGAAGGGAGGCTGCGCATGGGGCTTCATCAAACGGGGAAGTAACACCTTGAAGCACGGCCCAGAACGGGGTGTAGAAATTCCGCTTGGGATGTCACAGGGTGTTTTCTGGAAGGCCAACAGAGGATACGGACCAAAACGCGGATTCGGCAACGGTTGCTGCATGAGATCTGGTTCAGGACCAAATGCCAAATGACATCAACTACTAGGTTCCCCCAGTAGTGCCCTCTTATCCTTTTTACTAAAATAAACTACAGAAAAAAGGGTACCCGTATTCTAACCTCTCTACTGGAGGACCTAGTCAAGGGGATCAAATGCCAAATGACATCAAGGTGTGATCCTAATGGACCTCACACCTGCCAACACGGGTTGAGGCCCAGCTTTCTGCAGCCTGCGGCAGGACGATGATTGCTCTGAGCGACAGTTGACCAAGCTGGGGTAGAAGTTTGGCGTTTTTTCGTGGTTTCTTTGTGGTTTCCCTTTGCAGGAGCAAAGCTTACTGCTCAACAGCCCCGCTCCAAGCTTTAGCGAAAAACTAGCTATTGACCCATAAGTGGCCCATAAGCCTATACATGGATGTGCAAGCAATTGCGTCTCTTGAACGTGTCTGGAGTTTGGTGGAATCCCGTCCGTCACTCATACGAGCCGGCCCCAAGAATTACTGTCATCTACTGTAGTGGTGGTGCCATAGGCACATTGGGAAATGGGGGGGGACCTCAATAAGTTTCTAGGTCATCATAGCAGTTGGGGACACCATGGCTCATATGGGTGTTTCTCAGATCAATATCGCGCTCGTGCCCGGCGCGGATTTTGTCCATGGCACACCAAAGTTTAGCTATGCCGCTGCGCCCATCATGGATCTTTATGGGGGGCTATGGAGGGGTAGCTACCCCTGTTTGGCCCCTCGATAAGGCATTAAGGGCTTATCCTTGCCTTAGCCTGGGCTCCTGGAATATCCCCCAATCCCCTCCATTAAAAAAAAAAAAAATCCGCCCCCTACAGATCTATCTGCAGGGGTATCCCCAAATCCCCCCAAATCCCCCCGCCCCCCCGCGCGTCAAACCGTCCGCCGGCTACAGCCCAGGAAGTGGCTGTCCCCCGCTGAAGCCTCCAAGCTCTCAGCTGGCGAGCGCTCCATGCTGCTCAGCGGCCTGTTCCAGGTCCGGAAGGGCCGCACCAACTCCTCCAACTGCAAGCGCTGCGGCCGGAAGATGGAGAAGGCGCAGACGCATAACAAAAGGAGACTAGGTCCCCCAGTAGTGCCCTTCTCTCCCCTTTTTGGGGGGAGGGTTTCCCTAGTAAAATAGACTACAGAACAAAGGGTACCCTTATTCTATCCACTCTACTGGAGGACCTAGGAGAAACACCGGCGGTTTGGGGTGGTAGTCCTGTTGGTTTCTCCCTTTAAATCCATGTCAATGTGCTTTGTAAAGGGGACCCCCCAACAGGATGGTATTCCTTTTGGTTTCCCTTTCAAACCATGTGTCTTTGCAAGTGAACCCCCAACCAACATGGTGGTTTTTCTCTTTTGGTTTTCCCTTAAATCCAACCAAAAGGGGGTACCCTCAACAGAAGACACACTGTTCTTCTGTCTTAATGAGCAGCACCATTTGCAGCGTTTAGTTTTTCGCAATCTTAAGCAATATCATTCATTCCGCCGCTCTCAATGTTGAGTTGCGTAGCCTTCAGCGTAATATTCTGCATGTGCTCAAGCAATATCAAGTGTGCAAGATGGTTGTTTCCCGAACAGCTGAAAGCTTTGTTTTGCTGAGACCGTCAGATGTTGGGGATACCTGGGCTTTTTGCTGCGTCTGAGGCATCGATGCAGATAGGCTACCCTTCTACCGACAAAGAGAAGAGCAAGACCGTGGCAGTTTGGCTTCATGTGGCTTGTGCCTGCCTCAGAGCTCTCGGGAGACGCGCTGGCAACCAGTGGACGATGGACCTGAGCAATGACTGGTACGGAGCTGCCCAATGGTCTTTCTTTTCCCGCAAAGGGAGGGAGCCGCCCAAGTGAACTAGGGGGAAAGGTATTATTGCCGGTCTCACGTGGACCAGATGTAAGGGACTCGTTGCGCTTTTGGTTACGACCAAGGTAAGGTCAACGAAGGTCAAGATTCGGGAGACAACTCAAGCAGTGTGACACATCTCACACTTAGCAGCTTGTCGCGGCCTGAAATCTCGAACTGTTTGCAAGAGACACATTCATGTTCCTGCTTAGATGGGTTTCATGCATTTTTATTTCCCAGGGAAGCCCATCGATTTTTAAACTGGTGACCTATGCTCACTCCCCGAGTTCCACTTTTGGGGTTTGGACCATAGAAAGTGGCCATTCCCGGAGAAAAAAAAAGACAAGTTGCGGCGGCTTTTCCTGAAATTCCCAGCTCGATCGGAAGTGAGCAGTTTCCCAGTAACCAACAGTTTGTGTAGCCTCGCAAGGGTAGAGTCAGGCTTCCTCAGGAAGTGATCATTGCTTCGTTCAGTTTGCCAAGAATGCTCTTCCTCCCGGAACGGAAGGCACGAAATGGGGGATAAAGTGAATGCCGTTTCTGTACAGTGACATAGGTTCCATAGGCACTCACGCGCCTGATATTATTTCAACTCGCTCTATATATGCTTTCGGGCGTTGTTTTTTTGGTATTGTTTGTCTTTTGTTTCCTCTTGCGGGTCGAGCCCCAGCCTCAGGTTACGCTTCGTGGCTTTCGGTTTTTGGAAATTTGAACTCCTTGTTCTTGAGGGGAACTGCGACCCTGTAACACCTCCAATCCGGGCTCCAAGCGAATCCAAACCCAGGAAATAGACCCAGCTTCCGAGCCATTTCCCTTTTCGGAACCTCGAACAGCGGCGATCGTTTCAATGGAAACTACCAGTAAATTGATCAGCTTTTCGGGGGACTCCAGTGACCCCTGGTAGAGGGGGTAGGCGTGCAACCCGAAATCCTTTAGGTTTCACTATGGGATTCCATCTTGTGGCGACGCGTCACACCGATACTGGAAGCACGCAGCGATGGAGCCGTGGCAAGCTTGTCACTTTCCGAAAGGAAGGGCTTTTTTCGGGAGGGGTCCGCGGAATTCGTGCGATGGAGGCGCCAAGAAGGACGAGGGCTTGGTGCAGTTGGCCTCGCAGGGCCGGAAGGCCATGAAGGAGCACGTCCTGGGCTTCGACGCCTTGTCACGCCAGGAGCCAAAAAGAAACCGCGGCCTCGCGAAATGAACCCGAGGGCGAAATGAAGCCGAAGCACGCGGCAAGCAACACGAGGCCCAGACTTGGGCGGCTGTTTTTTTGTGTGTTTTTTTTTTGGGGGGGTACCTTTTTCCGTTTGGAGAAGCAACATGGAAAACCGAAATCCATGTTGGGGTTAAAGATCAGAGTGAGTTCCCTTGGTGATTGGAAGGGAAGTATTGGTGGCCGGAGGCAAGCCGGATTCCCCTTTCCAAAGAGAGAGGCACCATTCCCTTAGCGAAACGAGGGAGTTGAGCCGTCTACGCCGATGGGTTTCCCGTGATTGTGGAGATTGTAGGTACGCTGGAGCAGTAGATGGCACAATGTTCTACTTTCACCCAATTGTAATATTTGGTGTGTACTCTTTTTGGATGGCTTTAGATGGAAACTCAACAGAAACATATCCGTCTGGTTTTTGCAGGACGTTTCTCTTGGTAAACGAAAGCGCCAGGTTAGGGACGCATGGGTAGTCAGCCTAGAGCCGCTGCCCCTTGGTCTGGAGGCAGCACTGCCCTGCAGATCAACACAAGGTACACCGAAAAAAAGAGAGTGTGTGAGTATCTCCATGCTTCCATTTGCTCAACAGAATGTGTTGTTTTAATATTCTCCCTCGGTTTAAAAGGGAACCTATCACTGCAGACATGGTTTCATTTTTCCAAGGAACGTATCCGCAAATAGAGGCATTTGGAAGCCTTGCGTGGTTTAGAGATTTACCGGGGAAGTTTCAAGCAAAGACGTTGCCCTGTGGGGAGAAGCGATCCGTTCGGCACGGGCAGCCAATGAAACTGGGGAAGTGCAAGTAGTGCCGTCCCTTTGTGGGTTGCCCACGCTTTCCTCCCAAAGGAGATGAAGGTTAAGGGATAATCCCTTTGCCGGCACGTGCGTATATCGGCCTTCTTACTTCTAGCAAGGTTCTGGGTAGACGAATTTCGTATCGCGTGTCGATGACTCGAGGCGTTTCCCTTTTCTACCAGGGTCACTCACCTGAGAGCTTTGGGGGCTGATGGTTTTTGGTGAAGCGCATCCCTTCAGTTCTTCACTGGAAATAGATCAACGACCAGATGGAACAGAGGGCCCCCAATGTGTGGATCACCTTAACGAGCAAACCTAAAAGCGCCTTCAAAAAGGGAGGCCATGAGTTGATGTTTCAGTGGTATTTTCACACGGTTGAACTCTTGACCTCCGTGTGGTTGGAAAATTCACAAGCTCCTTCATGTGGCAACTCCCCTTCAAGCGGGCTTCAGTTCTGTTCAACCGAAAACAGATGCTTCAAAACAGCCATTATTTCAGAGACGAGGGTTGCTGTAAGGGACAACTACTTTGCCAGAGATGTTCTGATCCGGGGGCAAACCACGTTGCTACTTGGGACCTGTACCCTGAACAATCATTCGTGGAAATGTGTATTTTGGATGCTTCCCAGCCATTGAGCAACGACCAAACCATCCCCCCTCCTGGTTTCGCGGGTAGTGCGGCTTAAACCCTTGTGACCATGTTGGTCGAGCCATCCCGGGAGCTAAATAGCCCATGTTTTCCAATCTAGCCCAGAAACCAACAACTAGGTGGCCAAACACCAGAGGCTTGGTGAATGTGTTTTTCTCCAGACCCCTTTTTCCGCACCGATCCCATAGGGTACAGCCACCCCGCTGCTTTAACAAATTTCCGTGTCGCTTTGGCTCCGGCAGGAGCAAAAGCAGCTGGTGGAACAGAGCCTCCGGCAAAAACCCGCGGCCGCGGGATGCGTCACGGACATGGCCGTGAGTTTTACTCGCTGCCTGAGTTCCGTTTCGGACTTTAGGCGTTGTTTGAGCTTGAGCCCATTTTGGTAGACGAACGGTTTGGACCAATCCACTCAGGAAGTGAGTTAAGAGCTGGGAACCATGTAGCAGATGTCCACCGTTTCGGGTCCCCAATGAACATTTGCACCCACACAAGATTGTTATATACATATACATACATGGATGGCTTCGATCGACTCGATTCGACCAACCGCGTTTTCTCAGATGGCAAAGAAGCATGAAGACTCCACGATCGGCTCCAGATCTCGAAGTGCGATTTTCGGGGCCCGGATGGAAATGCATCCAAGAACATTTTGTGGCACATGTGTTGTTCAACCCGGAGCTCTAGATGCATTTTTCGGCGCTCATAAAACGCATCTAAGGGCACACTTCCTTGGACTGCCACCAGGCCATTCTTTTGCTTCAGGCGCAACATTGTTAGAAAAGCAATGTGGTGGCCCGGTGGCAGTCTCCGGAAGGCGCGTGCTCTAGAGATGCGTTTCGGTCTCGAAAAAACACACACACACACACACATTAATATCCTGCATGTGTTTAAAGGAATGTGGCGGTTTTTGAGGCTCCAAGGCTAGTCCACATGCGGTTTTTTGGGGGCCTAGAAAACGCATCTAAGAGCATAATTATTTCTTGCATTGCAAAGAGCTGGTTTAACGCGTTTGGGCTTCCCTTCTTTGGGTGCTCGCATTGGTGAAGGCTTGTTGAATTATTGTAAATGCTTCGCGCTGCCAGTATCAGCCGGTCTCTTTTGATTGGCTTGAAGTGCTATGCTTTGAGTGAGTCGGAATGGGGATGGCGATGTGTGCTGCGCGACAATGATGCAGGGGAATGCAAGGGTGGCATTCTAGGCGGTTGCTCGGAGGAGAGTGTTTGTTTGGTGCGCAAATCTGTGACGACCCTCCAAACTCGCTGAAGTCGTCCTTTTGGTGTCCCCTCAAGACTTGGTGGCTCCCAGCCATCCCTCTAGCTTTTTAGCTTTTTAGTGTTTGGTGGTAGTTTCCATGTAACGCACTAATAGTCAAACTTTTAAGCGGGGGATCTGAGGGCAGCCCAGAAAACCGAGACCCAAAACGCCAACTCAAGAAAGGAACTGAGCCAATTGGGTGGCGCCAAGCGGAGGGACCTGAATCCAGGTGCTAAATCAGTGACTTTATCAGGAAAACCAAAAGTTGGGATGGGTCCGGCTCCGGCTCCCCCCCCAACAACAGCAACTGCCCTTTCCAAATGCCAGGTGCCCCAAAAAGCCGAGGTGGGCCCCAGGTGCTGGAGAGGAGTTGTGTCTGTTCCGTCTTTTTGCCTCCAGATGTTTTGTACAACCCGAGTTTCAGCCCCTCAATAGATTTTCTCAACCTAGAGCCTGGATCCAGGATTCTTCTTGGCATGGCGCCATGGGATGACATTGACATGTTTCATTCACATGCCAAGGATTGGACAGTGTTGCCAAGGACGTGGGGCCTTTTAGGATTTCTTTGGAAGGGCGGGATCCTGAGGAACCAAACAAGTGACACCTTCTTCGGGGCTCGCAGCTTCCAAGTGTTGGGACATGGCTCGTTTCAACAGTCTGGCGAGCCAGAGCTCAACTTCAGGTTGCTGCAACCTCCGGCGGACACACACACAAAATCTATTTCATCCCAGGCCATGGAAGCTCCCGGAGACTTGGTTCCACTTACGGGGCCTTATGGGAGCTTCCATGTTAGTCTCCCCACATTCATGACCCTGCCTGTACAGACCGACCTGCCATTTGAGGCCGCCTTTCTTTTAGAGAGGGCCCCTTTTAGTTGTTTTGTTGCGAATGGGCCAAGTGAGGATTCATGCGCAGCAGGAGGAGGAGGAGGAGAGTTTTTGTCCCGGCCGGCACGATGGTGGTGTTCAACGTGTTGCTGAAATGGACGTGTTGTTCAACAGGGAAACCCCCCGAACTGCTGATTTCCCTTGAGTGTCCCTTATATGCACCCAAAAGGTTCCCTCAAAAAACGACACACCCAAATGGGGGGGGTTTGTCATTGTGGACTTTCGCAGGACCCCCCCCCAAAATAAAAAATAAAAAATCAGGCAACAACTAAAAAACTTCTGATTGGGGCCGTTTGCAGTGTCCTTTTGTGATGGACTTGCCCACTTCCGCGCGACAGAATGTCTTCAGATACACCAGGTGCAATTCTCCTTTGAGTGGGGACTGCTCCGCGTTAGGAAGCCATGGGAAAAAAGTTTGCGGGAAAAGCCCATTGGCCCGTTGGATTTATTCTGGCCGTCCCCATTCTGTTCAGGAATCCTTCTCTGTGCAACATTGTAACATTGCCCCAAACCCAGAGGAAGGTATTTCTGTTCACCAGAATGGGGAATCAACCTGTACATATATTCTTCTGTTGGATTTGTCCCTCAGCTTGTTGGGGGAGAAGTCGTGTGTTAGCAAAACAAGCCTCAATTTCGAGGCGGAACTGACCTGTTTTGTCCCTTCCATCGGCGCACATGGGGAACCCAAATCATGAAACCGGTGGTTCCTAGCCATCCGGTTCCATATGTTTTGAGTTGTCTTGTGTTGGTTTAGTGGTTGGGTTTATTTGGTTTCTCTTTGCTTGAAACATGGGCTAACATGTCTCTAGGCTAAAGCAATGGCCGACTCGAGACAAGCAGGCCCAATTTTCCTGTCGACTGGAAACGCACTATTTGAGTTCCTGGGCTGGATAGTTTGGACCAAGCGTGGTTACTGTTTGTGGTACTCGGCTTTTTCGGGAAGACCATTTTAGGTGCAAATGGCAAGGGTGGTCACTGTTTGTTTTTGTTGGGCCAATCCACTCCCATCGGAAGTGAGGAAAGGAGCTGTTCCGACTGAATTGACAGGAGGAGCCTGGGCTGCCGGAGAGTCAGGTGGCAGTTCCCCCAAAGGTCCTCGAGGCAAAACGGGGGGGGGAGGGGGGCGGGGGGGGGGGATGTGAAGCGAAGAAGAGACTGGACTGGTCGATTTTGTGAGGTTTGGGGGGTGGAAGAAGGGGAGGGTGAGCTAAATTTCCCTAAAAAACGATGAAGCCCATGCAACCCGTGCCTCTCTTTTGCAAGACGGGCTCCCGCTGCCTGAGAAAAGGGAAGTCATCTATACCAAGTGGCGGGAAGGACCTGCCAAGCGAAGGTCTCAGGTGATTTTCAGGTGATCCGAAGTTTGGATGTGGCTGTGGGACAACCCCAATTTGGATCCCATTTTGGGTTTGTTTGGTGAATTCACCACCCATTTTAGAACCTATTTTTGTGTGGATTGGGATGTTCACTGGTGGTACGATTTGGATTTTGACCCATAGCCATCTCCAGTTCAGCATGGTTCCTTTGGCCTTTTTGTGCTCTGCCAGCCAAGCCCAAAGCTGATGAGGGTGTGTCTTTCTTTTGGGGACTCCCCCAAATTGGCGGTTTTCCTTTGTGTTCCGCTGTTTTAAACCAACAAGGGTTCCTTCAACAAAATCACAATCTCTGCACTTTGAATCATACCATAGGTGATACAATATTTCACTTGCCAAGGGCACCTGACTGCTGACTGCTCAGTTGGGCCCCAATGGGTAAAGGCCCTAAGGATATGCCTTTGCCAAACATGGGCCGTCGTATGGGGCTTCTTGATGGGGATCAGTTTTGCGTTTGTCTTTCTTCTTCCCGACATTCTGGGCCACCTGAAAAGGTGTTTTCAGCTAGTGGCGCAGAGGCCGTCAATTTTCAAGGCAAGTGATTTGGTTGCACCCCGAAACAAATCTGCCAGGTACTACCTAAATCGGAATTGGGGCTTGCCCTCAACGGGTACCATCAACAAGATACACCGAAATAGGGGTGTGTCAAAATCAGCGGACCCCCGAAAATGGATGTTTTTTTGTTGGTTTCCCTTTGCGCCAACCCGAAAAGCTATTTTCTTCAAGCAAACACAGCGAACGACCCCTACAAACCATCCCTCCGTCGTGATCCTTCACTCCATCCGATCTCCGGTCAGGCCCACGAGACCCCGACGGAGCTGAAGTGCGAGCTCAAGGAATTCCAGAAGCAGGGCTTGACTTGGATGCTGGCGCGCGAGGACCCGACAAAAAATCCAAAGAAATGGATCCGAAGCGTCTCAATCAAAGTGGGACGGGACGGGAGGGGATGGGATGGGGTTGGCAAAATTGGATGGCCAGTTCCTTTGCATCCTTGCAGGAAAGATCTGGGACGATCAAAGTGTCAAACAGATGGCCGGTTCCGTTTTGGACAGTGCCGAAGCCGCCAAAAACAAAAGGGGTCCTATCGAAAAGGGCCCAAATGTTGACAACCCTCCTTTATGGTCCAAAAGTCCGCAAACGGAGATGTCCTCAAGATGGCGGCGGACCCGGCACGATGGGGGATGCCCACTCTTGTCCTCAGTTTGTCTGCCTATGGCAATACCGGCACACCTTGTGGGGGGTCATTTATAGGGGTATGCTATGCAGGGGTGTTTGTGTTGACACCTGGCGGCTGTTGGAAGGGTTTCTACTGCTTGGTTTCCAAACTGCTCGGTTGCCCCCATGCTTTCGGATTCCTGGGGGCTTCTAGTAAACCAGCAAGGGAGAAATACTGTGGATGAACTCCTGCACTTTGAAACCAGGGGAAACACTCGTTTCTTGGTATATACAGAGGAATCGTCCATCCACAGTATGGCTGGCTGAAAAGGACGAGGCTTGGGGGAATCCACCAGACCCACTCCCAGTTAGACATTTCTTAGGGGGCAAGCCATTTCAATCACAAAGTTGGAGCTTGGCCCATCCACTCATGAATGTGACTGTCAAAATAGCAGAAGCTCTGTTTGTATAAGAGTGACTCAGAGACGAGCTCGCTCTTCATGCCTTCTTGTTGGTGAAAAGAAGACCTGGAAGAGGGAGCACAGCCATGTCCTGAGTCGAATACTGTTGACCCCATATAAATCAACTCCTGTTTATTAAAGCGATTAAAGGGGGGTGCTTCTCCCTGGGTGAAATGTGGGGAATCAGACTACTTTTGAGGGGCCACACACCCACCCACCCTATTAAAAGCAGGTTGGCTGTGGCTCAAATAAATGTACTGAATGGTTGAAATATGGCTGTGGCTCAAATAAATGGACTAAAATCGCTCCTTGGGAAATGAACTAAAGACGAACACCTGCGTAACCCTAGCTCTTTAATTTTGAGCCACACCCATATGGAGTCAACATTTCTCGTTTTCTTTGGGCAGGACGTTGCGAAGGGCGGGCTCAACCCTTGTGGCGGCATCCTGGCAGACGAGATGGGCATGGGGAAGACCCTCGCGCCTGAACTGCACCAAGAAATGACAAAGGCATCAGCTTCCCAGTTTGGACTGCTGTATTGAAGCCAAACCAGTATTTTTGTTGCAACCTTTTAAAGTGGATTTTTCAGCGACCTGCCTTTCTTTTCAAACCAACAACTAAGTGTTCCTCTTTACAAAGTGGAACAAGCTCACGGAGCTTACCCATGAAGCTTCTTACTGGGGATGCCCGTATTTGGAAACCGTTGGGAACTATAGTAGTCGGAGCACGACTCATATTCCGCTGCGGATCAATCCGCGGTGTTTCAGTGTAGTCGCTCAAAACAGCCCAGGCACGCCAGCCAAATGCAAAGCACACTCGCTCACGTTCGCCCGCTCAGCACTGCACACAACGGGTGTCCTGTACTAAAAGGAGTGTTTTCTTCTTTTCGTTTTTTGCGGTGGGCGTTCAAATACCAAAGATCAGGTAACCTCTAATTGGTAGTTTGGATTGGTGATTTGGGATTTGAACCCTTGCTTCCTCTAGACGGGAAATAGGAAACCACTCCGTTTCACCACCAAACCACCGGTCTCCAAACCACCAATTCGAGGGGAGCTGCAAGGATGGGTGCCCGCTGTCCCGTGTGACTGATCTGGGTGTATCGGTTTTGTTCACAGGAGGTCATCGCGCTGCTCCTGGCCAGCGAGGAGAAAGGGGCGGTTCCCCTACCATGATCCACCCAAACAGTAGGCCATTGAACAAAAGCTGTATTTTCCCCCCAACCCGGATTTTGAATGCAAAGCGCAGGAAAAATAAAGGGACTGTTTTCCGCTGTTTTCACTGTTCCTGGCATTCATGTTTAGTTTGCTAGTTGTTTGGTGCTTAGCAAGTCTGGCTATAAGACACATCCACTTCCATGCAGATCTGGGTCTGTTTTTTGTTCGCGGGACCCTTAACATGACTGTTTTCCTTCTGGGTTTACCTTTTTAGTCCACCAAGCAGTTGGTTTCACTTTAAAAAAAAGACGAGCCCCCCGTCCCCCCCTCCGCCCCCCCTCCCCCCCTCCCCCAATTGGGGGATCCGAACTTCCGGTTAGCGAGGAGACCCCCACCTTGATCGTGGTGCCACCCACCTGCCTCATGCAGTGGCGCCTGCAGATCCAGCGCTTCGTGGCTGAGAGCATCGAGGCGAGAGAACCAGAACGGTGTCATCTTTTTGGTTGATTTGGTTGAAAAATCGGTTGGGCGATTCCTGGTTTACCTGGTGGTTCAATCAACTACCAGGGCCATCCATTTGTCATTTATTCTAGGGGACCTTCCCCATTCTGAACCCAGGCATCCTTCTTTCTACCCAATACCCTGGAGAAACAGATCCGGTTTTTGAAAAGAACGATGGTTGAAAGGTTGGAATCAACCCCTAGAACGCGTGATTTCCACCGCCATCGCCATTGGATTGTTCAAGGAGTGCTTGAACAAGCCCCTCAAAGGTTCACCCTGTGTCCTTCCCCAGAATTAGCTCCCCTTTGTGTTTTTTGCTTTTTGGGGGCCCTTTGTTTTCCACTAACCAGGCATTTTTTTGATGGGGTCTTAATTCCAGCCTAGTGTCAAGGGAACATTGAAACAAGTGCCGTTTGGGTTGGTTTGCCTCCTTGACCAAGCGGATGACTATCTTACCAGAAAACAACTTCCATTTGCTTAGGAATATGTTTTAGTTTCCCCTGTTGGCTTTGCAGGGAATCGCTTTCACTACTAGACATGTGTGTGTGTTTTTCTCCAGGGGACTGAAGCAGATGGAGGAAACCCCCTTTTTTGGGTGTGGCGATTTTTTTTCTGAGGGAAGTTTGTTTGGGGTGATTAAATCAGGGAAATCAAAGGGACACCACACCATCATTCTGGTGGGGGGTTCCCATATTTGAGACAAACTCTTCCGGTTCCTGGCAGGGCGGATCGATCCTCTTTGCCGCTTTCCAGGTGGCACCGGTGTTCTTGCTGAGTCGCCCCCCACCGTTTTTTAATGAAAGGGCATCATTCGAAGAACACCCGGCGTTCCAAGGTAAGCACCTGATCTTCACCGTTGTTGGATCATGTTGTTAGGTTATTGGACTCATGTTTGTTGGTTCTGTTTGAATTTTTAGGGTGCTACAAAACACAAGACAGTTTGTTGCAGGCCCATACCCTTGGGGTTGCAAAGTACCTTGCGATATGCTGTTGAAAACTCATTGCAGACTCTTAACATGGGATTTGCTTCCGCTCGAATCCGAAGAGCGGGCGGCCACGGGAAGACGGCCCTCCCTCAAGTTGGCATTTTTAAGTTTTGGAGGTATGGACGCTTCTACGCCGCCCAACACTTGGGGCCCTTTGGTTGCCTTACCTTGCCCCCCGTTTGGGGCTAAGCCGGATTCTACAACTTTTCTGCAGACCTCCAAAAACCAGAGCTCAACAAGAAGAATAGAAACCACGCCTGCCGAAGGTTCATACGTACCAGGGCGTCAACCGCAACTTGCCAGAGTTGGAGCCGGAATCGAAGAAGCGGGTGGTGCTAACCACCTACAACGTGCTGGAACGAGACTTTCGCAAGCAGGCGTCGGTCGGTGAAAGAGACGCTGCCCAGTTTGTTGTGCTACGCTTTCTGCGCATTAGGAAGCTTGCATAAGTGTGCGTGCGGCTGCTTGCTTGTACATGTGTTATGTTGTTTTGTTTCTGTGTGTGTTGTTTTGTTTGTGTGTTTTTGTTGTGTATCTTTTGTGTCGTGGGTGTGTCTTGTGCTTGTTGTTTGTGTGCTTGTGTGCGCGTGCGTGCTTTGAGTGCGTGGAAGTGTGCAGTGTGTGAGTGTGTGCTTGCTAGATTGTGTTGTCTCTGTCTGTATTTATTTGGTGTATTCATTGATTCATTCACGCATGTACTTGGTGCTTTAGTTGTGTATTCATTACCGTCTTTATGTAAGTGTTTATTTGTGTCTAATTCATTTACTTTTGCTTTTGTCACTTTGTTTATTTATGTATGTTTTTCGGTGTGTATTTCTTTACGTGTTGAATTAGTCCTGTCTTGTTATATGTTCTATATATATATATATTCTTCATTCATTTCGACTTATGTGTTTTATTATGAGGTGTTTTTTTGTTTATCGACACGTAACTATGTATTTATGTGTGTTGTCTGCTTTACGTATTATGTTGTTTGAATGTTCGGTTGGTTGGTTTGCTTTCTTTCTTTCTTTCTTTCTTTCTGTCTGTCTGTCTGTCTGTCTGTTTGTCTGTCTGTCTGTCTGTCTGTCTGTCTGTATGTCTTTCTTCACTCTCTCGCTTTATATATTTGATATGTTTATCATTTCTTGCTGTATTTATTTCTTTATTTCTGTCTTGTTTTCGTGTTTCTGGTTGTTTGCTCTCAGTTGTTATTGAACTGTTTATTTCTTTGTTTCTTACCTTCGCTCTCTGTCTCGTTTTATTTCCTAATTCCTTTCGTGTTGTTCCTTCTTTCTCTTGTGGTTTATGTCTTTATTTCTTATTGTTTGTCTTTCTCCCTCTTTCTCTCTCTCTCTCTCTCTTTTTGTTATGTCTGTCTGTCTTTGTGTAGTTCTTGCTCTTTTTTAATTATTTATGTAGTGTCCTTCTTTGCGTTTATTGTTATTTCTTTATTTCCTTCTTTCTTTCTTTCTTTCAGTCTTTATTTTTCTTGTATTTAC